TGAACAGCAGCCAATAAAACTCCCAACAGGACTGGTCCAATATGGACATAATTTGGTACATGTAAAGACAAATGAGTGTGTTAATGATTTGATTTGCAAGTACGGTACGTGTCTTGAACAGGTACAAGGGATTGCATCACGAGTGAAGCTGTAGTGTTATCAGGTAGTTGCTGGAACGGCAGACAGTCGAACACTCTTAGACAACAATAAAAGCACTTGATGAGTTTGATTGGGCTTGCATGAAGCCATATTGTTGTATTCTGCAAGTAAAAGTAAAGCAATGAAAAATGTGCGTTGAGTAAAAATTTGGTTGAAAATGAACCCAAAGTGCTAAACCAAAAACTCAAAAGGGGCTCAAGCGTAAAATAAATATATTTATTAAACTAGAGAAAACAAAAAAAGCCTGTTGTGTCAGCAAAGCATACTTACAAGAAACAACTAAAAGAGCTTGAAGGGAAAACAGATGATCGGCGAAAGGGACGAACAAAACGACACTTTATTTAACACCTGGGGGGAAGACGAGGATCCGATGAGAGTGTGAGGGACAGGAGCTGAATCACATGAGGGGAGAAACACTGGAGAAGCTGGAAAAACAAGTGACAGAAAACTAAAGGACACAAGGCAGACCGTGACAAAACATTACGTTGCTTTTTTACATCTTGATCCGTCTCTACTGTGTGACACACTGGGGAAATAAGGATATTTTTCTCAAATAATAACTTAAATTAAATAAAAAAGCATCCTATTTAATATTTATTACAAATATAAAACATGTCCATGTATGATATTTAAAATGCTTCAAAAAAATAGGTTGTAGTTTCAGTTTAGACCATTATAAGGTGCAGAGCTTGTTCTTTAACAAAAACGTGTTGCACAAATAGCACAAAGCAGCTGGTAGAAAAACTCTTAGACTACCCCCTGCTCCAGATTATTGCTCATTCTTATAGGTCTTGCTCACAGAAATAAAATAACATAAATATGACTTTTAAAACAGTGCAGGAAGGAATAAATGCTGTACTTCTAGTAAAAAGTTCATGTTTGATGAGTCCAATAATTCTCAGTCGGGTCATCTGGACAGTTTCTTTTTTACAGAGATGTTTCACCCTCTATCCGGAGGGCTTCATCAGTCAGAGGAGTTCCAGTAAACTGTTTCCCCACCAAGCAGTAAACTCCTTAAGTGGACCAACCAGTTTGCTGGAGCTAAGATGGTTTCTGGGGGCCGTCCTGTCCATCGTCGACTCCTCCCAGACAGGCAGCCACAGCCAAAGTAGTTCAAGGCAACAAAGTTCATGCTCAATCATCCAGGTACCAAATCCAATAATTCTCGGGTCATCTGGACAGTTTGATGAGGTTCCGATTCTCTGTGAATTTCCGGAGGCTGAAGTGAGTTTAACAGTTTAGCTGCTTGGATGAGCCTGAAGTCTGAGTTTTCAGTTTCACCAAGGAGGCTTTCTTTAAACCTGGTTCGATCGCCATGCTTTGTTCTTGAGCAGGTGTTCAGTTCAGTTTCATCCTAAACTGATAAAAAACAGTCCATTCACTGTATTTTCCTTTTCTTATTGAGATCCAAAATAGAAAAAACAAACTGACACAACTTTTATGTATCGTCATAGTTATACCTGCTGCTTTAAAACAAACACATTGTCAAATAACACAAAACTAGAAATTCCCCTGTCATTTGACAAGTCTGTCGAGGTATCCACATTTATTAGATGTTGATCAAATGTTGATGTTGTAATTTTCTCTTTTAACCACAACACGTTTATAATTTAAAAAAAAAATGGGTACCACTTTACAATAAGCCTCCCCTTATATATGGCTAATAAATAATTTATAGTTACATTGTTTATTCCTTTATAAACACTTTATAAATTATTAATAATTGGTTATTATGCATTAATTAAGGGTGACAGAGAGTTACTGCCTTGTAAGAACAATAAGCATTTGTAAACCTATTTTTAAGAATATAATATTTGTTGTAGATACTTATAATGCAGCGATAAAGTACAATAGTATATGCTAATAAAAAGGTTTTCAAATGCTTATTGTGCTTACATCGTAGTAACTTAGTCTGAAATGTTTAATATAACAACTCTGGATGAAATATATAGGTGAACAGATTTGGCTCAATATTTGGCAAGAAACTGGTCAGTTTTGTCTGTCGCACTTAATTAATGCATAATAAGCAGTTATTAATGATTTATAAAGTGCTTATAGAGGAATTAATAACATATCTATAAACTATTTATTAGAATCAATAAGGGGAGCCTTATTATGAAGTGGTACCAAAAAATTATTTTTATTCTATAATTTAATTTATAAAATGTATCTCATGGATTCTAACTTTAGGTCAAATTTGATTTGACCAGATGTCATTTTTTATTTTCTTAACTCACTTAACTTTAAATAAAATATGCTTAAAATCTTCAATAAGACTCACACCTCAAGAATCTGCAATAGACTAAAGTACCAATAATAATAAAAAAGTGCATTGTACAAAGCATTATCAGAGCCTTAAGAAAATTATTACTTTAACATGCAGACAGCTGCTCGTTTGATGTGACTTAATAAAAAAAATTCTTCTCAAACATTAATGTTGAATAACTTTGCAGGGACTAGAAATGTGTATAGTTTATATGACGGAGTTAAGTTTAAGAACAGTTCAAACCTTTTAAAACTTTGTTTTTTACCTTTCAAACTGTGCAGTCCACCAAGAAAAACAAACAAATCACAATTTTGAGAGAATTTAAGATTTTATGCCTATAATTTCAGTTTAATAACGGTAAACTGACCGTTTTTTCCAGTATTTATTAACAAGCATGGCAACAAAACAGCATGAGAACAATGCATGTTTAGAAAAATATATCTGAAAATGTATTTTTAGAATACACAATACATGAAATGAACCTCAAGTCAATGATAAACATTAATAAACAGTACCTTCACTGTAAAATCACAATAAAAACAGCACTTTTTTTCACGACATAATGTCCTTTTGAGGATCAGCTTACATCAGGAGGAAACACCTTGTTGGAGCAGGTAAACAACCTGAGACGTCCTTCACTAGAACTGCTGTACCTGCTTCCTTGTCCAATGATGATTTTTTCACTTGTTTGACTAGAAAACAAACCCTTGTTTTAAAAATCCAAATAAGTACAATAAACTGGAAACCTCACATGGACAAGATTAATAATTTGTAATGAAATCCGGGAACATTCCTTCATGAGTCGTTATGTTCTCAGTTAATTAGAAGCCTGGCAGTATTTATCAAGATGCTGGATGTCATACACAAACTTACAGTGTTATAAACAGACACATCACGATCCTTTGGTTTCTGCTGGAGTCTCTCATGTTCCTCCATTTTAACCAGTATCCAGGAGCAATGATACAAGAGGGAAGAAAGGCAAAGCATCTTAATTTAAAACACTAAAATAATACCAAAAATTAATAATAAACAGTTGAATAATTTGCTTTAAATATCACAGATATTTAAATTTGTTCATCTTCCATGTTTGAAGAGAAGTGGTGATGGCATTGTCTCTGTAGACATCACGAGTCTTCAGACAGCTTTTTATTGTTTGAGTCTTTTTAGGAAGACTGTCCTCACTGAGGGTGGGGCAGACAAAAACTGAAAGATGTTTAATATCCAGCTGGATAGCCTCCTTTCCTGGGGTCAGACTCTGCACAGAGACGCTCCCCCTGCCGCACCACGGCCTGGACGACAGAGTCTGGAGTACTCAGCAGCTGGGTTATATGGTTCTTCTGGGCCAGCCCCTCCAGGACACTCTGACAAGGCATCAGAGAACAAACACAACGAAACGTCACAGTGTGCAGGAGCTGAATGTCTTACAGCAGTCTCTAATTTAAAGCGCGGTGAAAGTTACAGATGATGTAAGAACACAGGTTTAGTGGTTTGACTCAGATCACACAAAATATTTTTATAATTTCTGATTTTAAAACTTTTTCTGACAGTGAACATAAAAAAGTCAGCTTTCATGATTCTGCTGACATTCAAGTAAGAAACAATACTTTTGATACGTTTGTGTTTATTAATGCAGTTAATTAATTATTTTGGACAATGCACAGGTGTCTTCACTGGTCTTGTTAGACCTCAATGCTGCATTTAATACAGTTGAGCATAATATTTTACTAAAAAGACTTGAATATGATACTGGGATTACAGGAACGGGTCTAAAACCACCACTTGCTCTTGCCAAGATCGGACGCATTTCCCTTCCCCTCCCCTCCCTCTCTGTTTTGCTTTGCTGCTCTGTCCGTCTGTGAAACTGCTTCTGAGCCTCTCTTGCGTATCTTCCGAACCATAATTATGGACTTGTTTTGATCAGTTGGTCCCTCAACACAATTGATAACATTTCTTCCAAGAGAAGACAGGCTTTAGGTGAGCTGATTTGCCATGTTGGCACACACGCAACTGGATATCTCATCAAATTAAGACTTGATGATGTGTTTATCTCTGCTGCCATTTGTGGATTTTAAGGACGCATATTTAATTGGATTTACGATAACTGGTTCCTGCTTTTTGGATTTGGCTGGTTGCTGGTTTTATCAACAACCAAGGAAGTCGCCGGCAGCAAATTGAGACCCGAACACGCTGCTTGCTTTTATGATGGCTTGGTTCGTGCCTCGAGTACCCCGACTCTAATGCTTTGGGCAGAATGGATCAGCTCTCGGGGATTTTACTCAGTCACGTCCCATCGGTGTGGATGTGTAATTTGGACATTTCGGAACCGAGTGGACCAACACAGACTCAAGGTAGATGTCATTAAGTTCTGCCTGTCCCCAAAACATCTGTGTATTTATCTGAATTTGGCTCCCTTGGCTGGCCTTGAAGGCCACCTTATCTGAATTCGCCTGGAGAATATGTGATCTGATGCTCACCCATCAACAAAGAGGAAACCAGCTGAATAAATGTGTCATCATTTCAGGACTCTTGATTTCTCATAGGTGTTGTCCCTGGCCATTTCCTGACATCCCTTGAGAATGTTTACGGATCTCACCGGAGGGAACTGGTTGATTATTCCATCCTCATCAGAACTCTTAGTGTCCTCGAGAGCGTCCATGGACATTGCTCACCGCTCTCGTCGTCTCCCCTCTGCAGAATGTCTACGTCATTATGTGCTTGTATGTGCGAGGTGTTTTTTTTAATATTAGAGTTTTTCTTCTCAGCCAAGGAGAGAGTTTGATAGGATTTTTTTTGCCTCCAATTCCTACATGTGTCCAGTTTCACTACTTTTTGTGTCTGTCTAAACAGTTCTCACTTGTAAATGAGTTTTCTAGGCTTAATGTGACTTATCTGTCTAAATAAAGGTTGAATGAAAAAATGGTTTAAATCATATCTATTTGATAGATTTCAGTTTGTAAATGTAAATAATGAATCTTCATCATACACCAAAGTTAGTCATGGAGTTCCACAGAGTTCAGTGCTTGGACCAATACTTTTTACCTCAAAAATGCTTCCATTAAGTAATGTTATTAAACAGCATGGGAATTTTCATTGCTATGCTGATAATACACCGTTATATTTGTCCATTAAACCCAATGAATCCAATCAGCTACTAAGACTACAAACGTCTTAAAGACATAAAAACCTGGATGACCCTTTATATTCTGCTTTTGAATACAGACAAGACTGAGGTTTTGTTTTTGGACCTGAACATCTTAGGAATAAATTTTTCAGTCTTTCTCCCTCCATGGATGGCATTAATCTGTCCTTGAGCTCTAATGTTAAAAATCTTGGTGTTATTTTTGAGCAGGACATGTCTTTTATCCCCCACATTAAAAACGTTACTAGAACTGCCTTCTTCCACCTGTGTAAAATCACTAAAATTAGAAACATCTTATCTTAAAATGATGCAGAAAAACTGGTCCATGCATTTGTCACGTCTAGACTGGACTATTGCAATGGTTTATTATCTGGGTGTCCAAATACTTCTTTAAAAAGTCTTCAGTTAATCCAAAATGCTGCTGCCAGTCTTAACTGGAGTTAGTAGGAGAGATCATATTTCTCCAGTTTTAGCTTCTCTCCACTGACTCCCTGTCAAATCTATCCATCCATCCATTATCTTTTACCCACTTCTTCCTTTTTGAGTCGCGGGGATCACTGGCGCCCATATCCAGCAGTCACTGTGCGAGAGGTGGGGGACACCCTGGACAGGTCCCCAGTCCATCACAGGGACACATAGAGACAAATAAGATAAACAACCATTCACTCTCTCACTAACACCTAGGGTCAATTTAGAGTTACCAATCAGTCTAACATGCATGTTTTTGGTCTGTGGGAGGAAAACGGAGTACCTGGAGAAACCCACGCATGCACAGAGAGAACATGCAAACTCCATCCAGAAAGGCCCCCAGATTGGAAGTTGAACCAGCGTAACTTGCTTTCTGAGAGGCAGCAGCTCTACTAGTTGCGCCACCATCCTGTCCATGTTTTTGTTGCATATTTTCCGAACAGAGCACTTTATTTCTCAGACTGCAGGTTTACTTGTGATGCCTAGAGTTTCCAAAAGCAGAATGGGAGCAAGATCTTTCAGTTATCAGGCTCCTCTCTTGTGGAACCAACTTCCAGTTTCTGTCCATAAGGCTGACACATTGTCCAGTTTTAAGACTGGGCTTAAGACTTTACTTTTTCATAAATCCTATAGTTAGGGCTGGCTTGTTATGCTGTTATAGGCTTAGACTAGTGGAGGACAAATTGACCACATTTCTTAAAATCAATTATTAAAATGAAATAGTTTTCATTTGAAATTGTTTCCATCTTAACATGTGATTCTCGACCTGCCATTGTGTTTCTGTTCCTCTTTCCTGTTTCTCTCAAACCCAGGCAGTCAAAGCAAATGACCACTTGTCCTGAGCCTGGTTCTGCTAAAGGTTTCTTCCTCATGAGGGAGTTTTTCCTTTCCACTGTCGCCTTCATGCTTGCTCAAGATGAGAGTTCTGTGATGGAGTTAAATTGAAAGCAGTCTGCTCCTCAGATAAATAATGTTAAATTATTATTTTTATATATGAATGTTTCTGTTCAGTGTCCTGAGATGACTTCTGTTGTGACTTGGCGCTGTATAAATAAACTGAATTCATTCAATTCCTCACTGTAAGATAATGTAAATATGTGCATGTTCCATCACCTGATTATTGTTTCACCTCTGTTGTACTTTTACTTAGACTCTGGCATGTAAATATTTCAGCACCCCTAACCAACATTTCCATTAGCATAAATAAATAAAATTGATACATGTAGGTATTGAGTTTTTTAGTTCTTGTTCAAAGGATTTGTTTTGTCTTAATTTTGCTGCAAAAGCATTTTACTTGTGCTTATTGACACATTTAGATTAATGTTTAAATCTCTAATGATTATGGGAATATACGTTTGTGCTTCTTGAGGACATTGTTTTATCAGTCTTCAGTAGACATTTCCAAACCATTGAAATACAGTTTTACAATAAGGACATGTTACGTGACATGATGAGTCTTTAGTATTTCTTTAGATGTGGTTGCAAAATAAAACCATAAAACTTTGGATGATTGTTGTTGTTGTTGTTTGTTTGGTTTGTTTTTTTTTCTTCCAGACTTCAACTTGGCCTTCATCATTACTGTTGAATGCATCTTTTGTTTGTCTTCTGCTTAGAGCACTTGGAGGCTGACTTCCAGGACAACACCATATCTCAAATATAAATTTCAAGTACAAATACAAACTTGTGCATGCCTCTTTCCCATCAATTATACAAGATGAGGTTTGTTCCATTAGTTAAATGAAATTAAACTCCCATCGTCAACTTTGGTTCACCTTTTCGAAGCCCTGCTCCACCACCGTCATGTTCGGGTTGAGCTGGTTGTGAACTCGTGGCTCCATCACAGCTTTTCTCAGGTCGTAGTTAAAGAACAAAGAGTTCAGGATAACCTGTTTCAAGACAGAAGTTCAGCTCTCGTACCGTAGCAGGAAAATCTACAGGAACTGTAACTGACTCTGACTTACTAAGGCGGTGGCTGTGGTGATTTTTGTGCCCCCGGATGCTCCTACAACCATTTTCACTCTGTTTTCTTTGTCAAAGATTATTGTAGGACACATGGACGACAGAGGCCTTTTGCCTGCAACAAAGAAACAATGTGCTCAGGACTGCTCTGTTTAAATTCATCCCATACAGACTTGTGGTTTAGAACAGACAGTTCATAAATTACCTTATTAGACTGGTAAATAAAAACAGCAAGTTTCATAATTCAAGTAAGCCACACCTGGCTGGATGAAGTTGTTGGGTGAAGGTGGGATTCCAAATCCATTGATCATGTGAGGAGAGCTGAAGTCGTCCATTTCATCGTTGAAAATTATTCCAGTGGATCGAGACATGACTTTAGACCCAAAGCTATGGAAATTCAAAATAAAATTCATGTACTTTATGAAGAACTATCATTAGAAAAAATTCATAAGGCGTGTCCAACAAATTAAAGTGAATATTTCAATAAAAGATTCTGCAGCCTTACTAGAGATTAATCGTACTGGTGGCTGCGACGGCACTTCCATCCTCAGCTATGACAGACAGGTGAGCTGTGCCGTGGTTCTCTGGGATGAAATATTCAGGCTCGTAGTAGCTGTCAGGGTGGGTGGTGTCATCTGTAATTTTACTCCTTATGCCATCGGCAAAATAGTCTGAGGTCATGTTTTGGATTAGCTGTGGGTTGCAAAACAAGTCAAAGGAACAGGAGAAGATAAGGAAGACACTATCTGGTGTTTTCACGGGCTGATAAGACGACCTCAAACCACATTTTCTCTAGTGTCTAGTAGAGACTTGCTATGATGAAGAGGACAGCAAACTGGAAATGATAAAACTCCTAAGGATAATCGGGACAGAAGCATGAGCTCTTACATCGGTGATGTTGAGATATCGAGGGTCTCCCAGTCTGCTTCTCTTGGCGTAAGCAAAACGAAAAGCCTCAACGATGCGATGGTACGTCAGAGTTTTTTCCTCGGCTGTAGAAACACTGGTGTCTGTGAAGTTGTACCCTGAAACGCACACACAGGAGCAACGTGGGTGAATACTGTAGATGTAGACCAAGCACAGGTAGAGAAACATAAATCTGTGTGTGTTTGTTTAGTTGTTCATTTGAAGCACAGATTCAGGCTTTTGTGCTGCAACAGATGGAACAAAACCAGTAAAAAAAAATACAACCCAGGGATGACCTGAGGAAACATGATATCCTTTCTTCTGCATGGCAGCCTAAACACTTGGCCAGGCCACTCACCATCCACTATGTTGAGGATGAGGGCCAACACAGGGCCGCTGGAGGGGGCATCCGGGACATGGATGGTGTAATCCCCAACATTCAGCGTCAGAGGGTTTTCATTCAGCAACGGCTGGTACTCCAACAAATCATCGAGGGTGATAATGCCACCTGAAAGAAAACCAGTTTGTAAATAATTGTATGTATAATTGCTTATTCTTTCTTTTATTTATATAAAATGAATATGATTTCATCACAGCACCTGCTGCCTGGATGTCTTCAACGATACTCTGAGCCATCGTCCCGTTGTAAAACACATCAGGCCCCTCTTCTGCTATTTTCTGGTACGTGTCAGCCAGCTTTGGGAATCTAACAATGTCATTTTCTTTCAGGATTTGTTTTTGAGAGTCACAAAACACCTCGCTGAAAGA